TTTAGGTCGCAGATAAATTAGTCTGAGTCTCATCTCTTAATTAGACATATAGTAATAGATAATGTATAATATAAAAAAGTTGTACAAACTGTAACAATATGTTCGAATAAACAGACCTGAGGCATGACTTCACCTTAACTCCAAAAAAAAAAAAAAATTAATAAGCTTTGATTTCATTAATAAAAAATAAGAAATTTGAAAACTATGTTAAGAGTAAAAAGGCTCACATAGTATGTAAAAACAAATAATTAATGCATAAATATAGTAGTTTATACTATATTTGCTTTGTACAAAGTTATAAAATAAGCCATGTGCCTAATTTATAAATTTATAATACAAGATTACAAGGTAAATTAAGCAATTATATATTTAGAAATATCACAAAATAATTTACATATTGGGACATATTCTGCAGTTGTAACCAGTTTGCTGGCATAGACTGCATTGCTTTGATCATTTTTCAACAAGCTCGAATGCAGACAGCTCTCTTTGTGTTAACATTTGATTTTTATTTCTTGCAACAGCTGGTCTTTCTCATAGTCTGATAGTAACTAAGTTTTTTGAAATAGTGGAAGGAGTTTTCATCAACTCTTCTAGCTGGGCATAAACAGTAGCTTGTTGATGTGATGATCAGAATTGGAACATTTGTGCAAGTAACTGAAGAAGAGGCTGAAGATTAGTGGAATTATTATTTGTAGAATAAGTAAGTTTAAGAAATTCAAGGTGATGACCTTGAATCCATCAGTGTTCATAGAAATCAGTCTGCTGCAGTGTCTGGCTGGTCATCAAACATTTATTAATTATATGTAAACATAGAATTCCTATTGTGAATTTGAGAATTCCTGTACAAGGGCTTAGGGGTAAGTCTTCAGTTGCATTTAATGCTTTTAGCCATTCATTATAAGTTTTTTTCAAGAAAAAAACAGATACATGGCAAAGAAAAGGTTCAAAAAGAGTGATTTGATATTTATAATATATCCTTATACATTTTAAGAAAATCATAGCATGAATTTCTTTAACTTGAGCCTCCACCTGTAGTATAATCTTTCAACATACAGACTCAAGATCACCTGTAGATACTTGTAGACATCTAGTAATTATTTTTGATGAACCAAAAGTTGTTTAATGTGATTAGAGATACAACTAGAGGTTAAAAAAAAAACATATATCTAAATAAATAATTACCTTTTAATGATGGCATGCATGCCTTCTACTCATGATGTTACTTTATTATTAAGATGTAAATGACAATTGGCCAAAGCAGAAATGAAATGTTCTTTATGAGGCAACCAGATCTCATGAAGGTATTGTAAAATGATAGGTTGATTTTTATAATATTGTAAAAATTGCTCCATTAAGTTATAAACTTTGCTTAGTAGTAGATTTTGTAATCTCTTGCCACTTTGTTATGAATTTAGCTCAATGTTGTTCTGTGATGAAATGCTTTTTACATTTGGCTAAAATATTTTTATTTATATGTCAGATACACAAAATATGATGAGCATTAGGAAAAAATTTGCAAATAGCTTTCATTAATGCCAATTTCCTGTTAGTAACAATAACACTCAGATAGGATAATGCATTAAAAATTTTTAAAACACAATTCAAAGCCCATTTATAGTTTTCCTTCATCTCATCACTCAGAAAAACAAAACAAGAAAAAAACATTGTATTAAAACTAGATACATCAACAATATTTAACAGAGGCATTCTATACCTATTGGTTTTATAAGTACAGTCTATGATTAATATAGTAGGGTAGGCACAGTTTAAAGCAATAGATATTCTATAGGCAAAAAAAAGCATGTAACATGGTTTTGACTATGCATTGATATTCAAACTCAAAGTCAGATTCTCACAATTCATCAATAAGGGCTTGAATTGGTGTTTAGCTATTAAGTTTTTCTTGATGAATAGAGTACAAAGTATTATAGATTGTTCTAGATATAGCCATCAAAAAAGGATTGTTCTGCTGAATAGTTGATAAAATTTGGTGAGGACAGGAGTCAGCAGCAGACATTTGTTTAACTTGTTCTCTTTGATCAATATTTAATTTTTGAGTAATTGAGTGACCAGACATATTAACAGAAGCCTCTTGATTGTGTTCAGAATTCCAGATCTCAAGATACCAAACATTGTTATGTTTTGTTCCAAAGAGCTCAAATGAACACTCTATTAGTCTTGATGCTATCCATTTATGACGTGAATTTTCTGTTAAATTCAATCTGTTTCTATAATAACCACCTTTGTTACAGACTAGCATCATATTTTTGATTTCACTGTTTGAATCAGATTATGACCTTTTTATAGTAATAACATAACCTTGACTTTTAGTAAAAGTTCGAATGTAAGTAAGAAGCTCCTCAAGACTTGTAAATGTACCAGATGAAGGTGGAAGCATGTTTAAGTTAAAGTAACTGTAATAAAAGTAAGTATTTTCTACTTAGAACATAATTATATATTCAAAAAGAAGTATATAAGGTATGTACAGGCTTGCTGTTCAGTGTTTAGATAACAGCTTAAAAGCTAAAACTAGTGATTAAGTTTATTGAAATTTGTATATAATAGCATATATATAATTTTCACATTTGCTCTTCTGATTTTTTTTTTTGTGAAAAAAAAAAACTTAATATTTTATTTTTCTAATTCTATATATACATCATATTTTTTATGATGTCATATATTATACATATATATTTTTCACATACTATTGTATACTATTATATACTCTTTACATATTACACATATTTCATCTCCACTACATCACAATTAGAGATGAGTTCAGGTCACAAATAGTCATGATTGTTCATAGTCAATTTTTTAAATACTGAGATAATTTCTTATTTTTAAGCTTTTAATTAAAGTTGAACAGAATTTAATTTTAAACAATCTTAATTAAAAGATCAAAAATAAGAAATCATCTCAGTATTTAGAAAATTGACTATGAACAATCATGATTATTTGTGACTAAACCCATCCCTAATTACAATTGTTAATCACAAATATAGTCAAAGTTATAAAGTAAATTTTAATAATAAAGATTTTTAGTAGTTCTTCTTAATATGTAATAAAAATATGCAAGGTTCAAATATTTCAACTAATATTTGTTGGATCCTTTTAGTATTTAAATTAATAGAGCATTTTTTATTTTTATAAAGTGAAAACCAGTTGTTAAACAGAAGAGCACCACTACTTTAAGGAGTTTTACTTAGATTTAATTGTTTAGAAATTATTATTATCAAATTTTATATATGCTTATTATTAAAAAAAATGGCTGACAAAATATACTTATGATACAATCTGACCTCGACTATATTTGAACTACTCAAAAAATGTCCTGAGAAATTTTAGATCAAATTGCAAGATGGAATAAGATATAAAATCTATGTTTCCTTAAATTAGTGATTCAGATATTTTGAGATGTTCTTAAGGATAGTTATATGTTTGTAGATTGTATCTACAGTACAGTACTAAATAATTGGTTTATGAATCGATTATTAATCAAAATTGGGGTAACCAATATAAAATACAGATTAAATAATAATACTGTATATGAATCATATAACTCAATAGCATAAAAATGTTTGCAATAATAAATATATTTAACAGTATGTGAAAATAATTATTTTGTTTTGTATATTCTGTACAATTGTATCACATAATTTAAACAATTTTTTAGCATGTGTCAAGAATAATGTTTTTGTGCTTTTATTTAGAATAAAAAATGAAGTTCTTGCAGCATTTTAGTCTAGTTATGCTGCTTTATTACCAGTTTGTTGATTTAAACTGTACTTTAAAAGGCATTAAGAAACTTTTATACAACTCAGTTTTAGACAAAAATTTGTGTTATGATTTGTTTTGTAAATTTATCACATAGGAGTTATTTGTAAATGCTGCAGAGAAACTTTTGTTATCGGTCATATGACCACCTTGAAAATTGGATCTGACCTAATAGAAGTAGCATTAACAAAAATAAAGAGTAGCAATAACAGTTTCCAATTAAAAATTACATGCAAGAATAAAAGCTCAGACTAATTTATCTGTAACTAAACCTACTAAAGTAGTCAAAGCTTACTTAGATTTGAATATTTAATATATAATTTAATAATATGCTATATTTGATCCATAGAATAGACCAGATGTTAATTTTGCAAATTGCTTAGCTAATAGGAAGACATATGTTAGAGTAAATATATAGTTGATCTGGAAGTCTACAGAGGCATAAGTAAGTATAGTTCTATGAAAACATGTATGTCTAGTTGCTAAGTTAGATAATATTGAAGGTTTGTTGATTGGTTGAGATTGAGGTTTATTTTGTTGTTTTTTCCAGTTAAAAAAATGAATGCAATATGTTTTTCATAATTGTTCATATGATTGTTCATTAATATTGAGAAGAATATCAATAATAACTTGAAAGGCAGTTTTGTATAATATGTTAAAGTTTTGAACTGTTGATATGAATGACTCTGGAATAAGTCTTTTGAGACTAATGTTAGAATAAAATATGTTAAATAAGATGTATAAGAAATTGAGAGCTGGGTAATAAAGGATTTTATAAATTAGATTATTTTTTTGGTAAGTATCAAGATCAGATAATTTGCTAAAGATGATTTGATTGGTAAATGTTTGAATAATTTAGTTAAGCAAAAGTGTATTAACACAAGTATGCCAACAAGAGTAAGAGTTAGCTAGGTTACAGTAAAAGCAATTAGTATCTGGATATTGGTTTGAATAAATAATATGAAATAGTTAATATGTTGGTAATTTGTTAAGAAAGGTTTTGATTTTAAAGAATTTTAATTAATTGAGTCTAAAATTAGTAATATTGTATAAGGATTTTTGATTATAATTAAAATAAAGCCAAGTGAATCTCCAGTCAATATTCTGATTGAAGTATAACTACTCACTATTATGGTTTTGAGATGCTCATATAACTAATATGTAGGCTTTATATATTTGCTTAATAAAATATCTTGTAGGAAGTTCTATATAATGTTGCTCTTATTAAAGAATATGATAAGGATTATAAAGGTTTGTGTAATTAAATAAAAGAAGTAGTGATGATAGATGTTGTTTGACAAGAAAGTATATCTAATTTAATAGATATTTGGATTTTTTAAAAACTTTAATTAAAGATATCTTAACAATCATCTAATCAAATTTAATAAAATTTTTTTTTATTTGAATTTTATATATCTATATAATTCTAATAAAAAAAAAATCATCAAATTTGATTAAATATTTATTAAAATATCTTTGATCCAAAATTAAAAAATTTTATTATTATTATTTTTTATTTTTATTTTTTTTTTTAAGATGAGGTTTTGCTCATATCTTTATTAATTTGTTAAAGAAACCTCCAAAGGCTTCTCTAGATATAAATTACAAACTTATTTCAATTATAAATATATTACAAGAATGAAGCTCAAACTATAGACAGATTTTTATCTAATTTATCTGTAACCTAAACCTACTAGAGTAGTTAAAACTTACTTAGATTTGATAATATAAGATATTGTTTGTAGATTAGCTATATAGTATCTAGTATACAGACCAAAGTTAATTTTATGAAGTGTATTTTCTAGTAGTGAACAGTTATTATTTTTTGTATAGAGTTAGTTAGATAGACCACACAGTTGATATAAATTATGATATTAATTAGAATAATTATAAGATCTTTTATAAGTTGTAAATCTGTTGTTTGGTATAATGTTGTTGTTTTTTTTCTATTATGCTAATTTAGTAGTATATAGTTCTATATATAATTATATATTTTTTATGATATTTTGGTAAGCAATTTGGTAATTATTAAGATTGCAGTTTAATAAGATGTAATATAAGGTCTTATTGTAATAATTAGATCTGTTAGTATATATTTTTGTAGTATTATATATATATTAGTTTGTTCTTAATAAGTGTTGCTACTAATAGGCAGTTATATTGAGTTAGTAAATAGTATAATTGTTGTAGTTGTAATTGTGTAATGTCTAGTAATAAGTTATTATTAATAGTTTCAGAAATTGTTTTTGTAATAATACTAGTAATATTTGTTGAGTTAAAACAAAGTAGCCAGTATAATAGGTGTTTTGATATTTAGCAAGTGATACAATTGTTGTGCTGAAAGCTGTGTAGGTATAGTTCATGAAGGTAATATAATGTTGATAAGATATTAAGTAATATTTTAATCTGTAATAATTTATTTTGATTAAGTGAAAAGTTGGTATAGTTGTTTATTTATTTAGTATTGTTGTTAAGATTTAATCATGTTGCATTTCAGTCAATTTGTGATAACAGTAAAATAATATTGCTCATATGATATTGTGCTAACTATATAACAACTATATATGCATTACAGATATTTTTAATAACTCATCTGGTAGATTGTTTGATTATGTATTTTCTATTTTTTAAAGTATATAAGGTGTTATATAGATTCTTGTATATGAAAAAACTCTTTCTGCAAATCCATTGTACAAAAAGGTAACTAAAAAATTGTTTGTACAAAAACACTTTTAACTATTTATTTTACTAAGACAACCTGTTTTAGTGTCTTAACTAAACTTGGCAGCTCAGAATTTTATATATATCCTACAAATATTATACTTTTAGTTTTTAAACTCATTGAGAAAACTGTACTGATAGTCTTTGGCCTCAGTTTTAACAATTAATTTTTTTTCATAGTTTCTACTGTAACAACATATCTTATACTCTTAATTAAAGTTGTAATACACATTTGCCTAGTCAAAAAAAGCTCTAAATAAAGAATTTTGACCCAATATTGGCCAAATTACAACAAAATTTCTCTTTTACTCTCTTGTAAAACTTTTTTTTCTTCTATTTTTGTTTCTACCTGTTTCCTTTTTCCCTTACACATTTTTTGTATAACTATACCATTATTTTCCAATTCATACTTTATTAATTTATACAAAAATTTCTGTAACCTATCTATAAATAGAAATTCATTTAACATAACTTAATTATTTTCATATTTAGTTCTTATTAATAATACATAATAATTTGTACTGCAACTTTTATTTGTATACAGTACTTGAGTCACATCAGTGACCCCAATTATTTTTGTTATACCCTGTGCTATTCCAGTAATTTCTCAACTATACAACTTCTGTTTTAATTACTATCCTTGCAAATTAATTATTTGATTACAATTTTAACTTAGAAAAACTTTCTAAATTATTACTATAATATTTATTTATTCATTTATATCCCAAAAATGTCTACATTAACCAACCAAGAGCAGATACAGTAGATCTTGACTACTTCTACCAAAACTTTTCTATCAGTTTTGGAATTGCCTTCTATGAAGAAGAAAGTGGCAACAATACTCATCCAATCTTTTCTAAAGTTAAACCTACTGCTTGCTTAACTAAAAACCTTAGATCT